GGGGGGGGATCCGCGGCCGCCACGGGAGGTTTCCGAGCGGTTTATTGGGATGCAGGGCGAGCTAACTCTTTCCGCTTGATGTTTTTTACATAAAAGGTCGGATTTCCATATCCCCCCCCCCCAAAGCGTCGATGGCGACTGACGGGTTTCTACGGGAAAAAGGCGCTGACAAGAAGGACCGGTTGGGCGAACGTCTGCCAGTGCCGGAGTTCAGACCCGAAGGCTGGGTCGAGCTCCTGGGTTTAGATCGGCTCACCCCGAGGGATTCCCTTTGTGCGGCCGCCCCGGGCACAGAGGCGAGCAGGGGCGATGGATCTCCTCCTGACGCAGACGAGTTTTGCAGCCCCTGCGTCCCAACAGGTACGTGTCCTCGCGGTGCCTTGCTGCTAGGAAGGTGCGTAAATGATGTCATCTCAGGCTCCGACTGCAGCTTTTTACGTTATATTTTGTCATGGTGGCAGTAGCCGGGATCACCGTGTTCAGCTTAAAGACTTGCAGTCGCTTCTCACATCTGCGTGTTTTATGTGTTGTTCTTCTTGCAGAAATATTTTCTATATTTATTCTCACCCTTCCCCCCCCAGCTCCCCATTTTGTATAATTTTACAACCTCCAATTGCAACAAATAGCTGAACAAAGCAGTGATTAAAATCAAACTAAGTATCTCATCACGCAGCCGTGACCCTCTAGAAGAGAAACAGACACCCTAGGCTGGTTTGTTAATCTTGCTGCAATGGCTCTGGGGAAATCCAAATGAAATCTCACATTTTTCACATTATTCCTGCAAATTAATTACTTTGAAAGCTCAGCTTCAAACTAAGAAAAAAGTTCTCTCGCTTGTAACGAGAGCAAGCTGACAGCAGGTCCAGTGGAAAACTGGTGTACGGTTTCACATCGGTAATTTTGTTAGTTTTTCTCACAATTGTTGTAATCCTTTTGCTCGGTCATATTTCATGTAGAAATATATATATACACACACACAGCAATGTACGGTACAGTTGTGAGCTGTTATCTGGTAAACAAGTAAGGTTCTTGTTATTTGTAAAGTAATTTTATTTCTTTTTTTTGGTGGTGCTGCCACTGTTCCTAGCCAAAATTTTTGCATCGGGTTATAGGACAACAGAAGAAAGGGTCCGTGTGGTCACAGCTGCTGCCAAAACATGAAACAGAGTTCATGGTAAGTGGATTTTTCAGAGGCTGGGGATGCGGGGGCAAGGGGTGGGGTTACATCTCATGAAAGAAATTAGTATATAGAAAAAAATGTGTTGCTTACTCAAGAGTTTGGGCGTTTTGTCTGTTTTTGGAGTGGGTGCACTGCCTAGTGCATTACTCTTGTGAAGATTTCAGTGCTAGAAAATGTACAGGTATTTCTGTAGTTGTTCCTGTACATTTTACAGTTAAATCCCACTGACATCATGGTCATGACAGCGTTGTCCCTATCTCTATTTTGCCCGTATTTCCCCACAAGCTTGGCACCACAACATTTCTTCAGCCCGCATTTCTACCCCCACCCAGTAGTTTCAGAATGTTTGCGACAGAATAACACAATTTCTGATTTCAGTTGCATCTTTACCTTGTTTTGTCTAATGTTTAATGTACTTGTTTTCTCTTTTCCTGTGGATTTTGTTGCAGAGTGGGGATAGGGAATACGCTGGTAGGCTTGGGCTGTAACACCATGGTACGGGAGGTGTCTGGTGAGTGCAGCGAGTTCTGGCATTGCATTTTGTTAGATCCCTTACAGCGCAGTTTTTATTTTTGGGAACGTCTGGCTTGTGCATCGTCTTGCTTCACTGAAGCATTTTCTTTACAGGCTACAGCTACCCTGTGGCCTTGCAGGGTGGGTGAAAGCCAATTCTAACAGCGAAGTAAAACCGTAAGCAACAGTGAGTGGAAATGGGGAGGGACGAGTTCCACCGGTCACAGCAATGGCTGTATGACATTCCTTGGAGGAGTGGTCCTGGAGGACCATGAACTGCAAGGCTCTGCCCTGTGAATTCCTGCTGAAGAGTGAAAATATATTGAGCTAATCTTCTGGAAGGTGTAAATGCTTAAAGATGTTTGGTCTCCCAAGGGGAAAGAGATTGTTAGAACACGCAATGTCGTCTTTTTCACTTGAAAGAACAGCTAAAATAATCCGAAGTGAATTTGTCTTCACCAGTTTAGCTTGCGGGGCTGTCTGAGGGGGAATTACGCAATAGCTTTCTTGACCTTCAGGAGGGGTAAGTGAAAGCATCACCACTTCTGGGTGAAAAATCTCAGTTGAGGGAAGGCACAAAAAAGAGGCTAAAGTTGTGCTGATGCCAGTTGTGACTTTGCCGGAACAGGTTTAGTTGAGGAACGTGGAGAGGGGCAGCTGCTTAGGTGTTTCGGACTGCAATTCAGTTTGTGTTCCAGAGCTCGGGGACAGCACTAGGAGAAGGGGAGTAACTCGAGTGGCTGTGGTGAAACCCTGACCAAAATCACTTCTAATGGGCAGAAGCTGGTGGTGGTCTAACCTACAGGACTGTGATATTCCTGGAAAGAATCACTCACTGGAGAAGCCTCTCTGGCTTAGCTGGGTGTCCTGGTTTCAGCTGGGATAGAGTTAACTGTCTTCGTAATAGCTGGTACAGTGCTGTGTTTTGAGTTCAGTATGTGAAGAACGTTGATAACACTGATGTTTTCAGTTGTTGCTCAGTAGTGTTTAGACTATAGTCAAGGATTTTTCAGCTTCTCATGCCCAGCCGGCGAGAAAGCTGGAGGGGCACAAGAAGTTGGCACAGGACACTGGCAGGGCACCTGACGCAAACTGGCCAACAGTGTATTCCATACCATGTGACGTCACATCTAGTTTAGGAACTGGGAATGTGGGGGCAGGGATTCGCCGCTCGGGGACTGGCTGGGTGTCGGTCGGCGGGTGGTGAGCAATTGCCCTGCGCATCATTTGTACATTCCAATCCTTTTATTACTACTGTTGTCATTTTATTAGTGTTATCATTACCATTATTAGTTTCTTCTTTTCTGTTCTATTAAACCATTCTTGTCTCAACCCACAAGTTTTACTTCTTTTTCCCAATTTTCTCCCCCATCCCACTGGATGGGGGGGGAGTGAGTGAGCGGCTGCGTGGTGCTTAGTTGCTGGCTGGGGTTAAACCATGACACTGGGTAAATTAAAAGAGCTGCTTCAAGCTGTGATTAACCTGTGGGGTTGCACATTAGATGAGCTTCCCTAAATCGCTGCCATTTGTGCCCTTACTGTTTTTTGCCTGCTTTCTGGCACACACTATTAGACTCATCAGATTTCCCAGGGCAGTTGCAGTGTGAGAGGAGGAGTAACTCCTGTTCTTGCCCGTGAGTTAAGAGTGAATATTGTATTGATTTAAAGCTAAATGTACATCTGTGAGCTAAAGCAGAGAGACTCGGCATCCCCGTTTGCATTCAGAGCCCTACAAGCTCATTAACAGTTTGACCGCTTGCTTGTGTAATTCCTGACAGGTTTTAGAAAGGATTTTGTAATCGTTGTCTTCAAAGTGGAAGATAAGAAAGGAATGTTGCAGAAGACGGAAATGCGATTACAGCCGAGAATCTGAAAAGAGCAAAGCCTTAGCATGGGAGACAGACTGCATAACTTGAAAAGCAAAGGCAATGTCTAGCTTTCAAAATAAAGCTAAAAATAGAAGGGGAAGTCTCAGCATGAAGCCAGAGGATCCTATCTTACAAGACTCTTTCTTGTGCAAACACATCTAATCATTCATTGATTCCCGCCCCCCCACTGCATGATCATTTTAGGTGTTTACAGACAAAACTTAAAACAAGAAAGCTGAAAACTGGATTACACAGAGACTATGCAGCAGTTTGACATGAAAAGCGAGAGAGGAGCTCTCAAGAAAGAGCCTTCCTTTTCTGTCAGCTTGAGTTTTATGCACAGCTATGTGACATCCAAATATTCTTAGAAAATACTGAACTAAGCAGTTTGGCAGGGCATTAACTTTGCCTTTCAGGCTGACTGGTGATCAGCCCTGAGTCCAGATACAAATTGACACTTAATGGAGGTGGATTTCAGTAACTAGCTGAACGCAGCCTTGCACTTGGTCCAAGGGACAGAATTAAGGTGCAGATGAGCTGCATTAGCATGCTGTTGTTTGAAGCTTTCAGGACCTTTTGAAAGCATTTCGCTTCTCCTTTTTGGTTTATCATAATGTCCATGCAGCAAATCCCTTTGAGATTGTTAAACTTCTGTGTTAGAATTTAATTCCAGTTTAACAAGCACCATCTGTTACCAGCCTCTCAAGACTGCATGCAGTCACAGAACTACAAGTATTGAGAGACATGCACTTCAAAAAGTGGTGGGGGTCAATGGAACTCCGTGACACTCTCTCAAATCTGTTTCTCTCAAACTTTGTACTTTTTGCTTTATTTGCTTCCTCATAGGGTGTCTGTCATCTGCCAAATAAAGAAGGTGGAACAGCCTATCCTCAGCACACCTGACAAGTACACTAGATCTCCGCTACACCCCGAGCATTTGGTTGAAGATGTGCATTCAGGCGTCTCTTCCCACGCACAGAACACGGTATTGAATCGGTACCCAGCCCCTTTGTGCTGTAGGGAAGCCATTGTACAGCTGCTGATATCTGCAGTGGGTTGTTGTGGTGAGAATGCTGTATCTCAGCTCACAACTGCAAAACAGGCTCCTTTATGTCCACTTCCAGAATTATGAGCTGCTTTATCACGCTGCTCTGATGCTTTTACGTTAGCTCTGAGCAGGCCTGCTAGCACCATAACCACCGGTTGAACGCCCGTAATTCATAGGCCAAGGCAGTTGTGTGGTACTTTCCATTGATATGTGTTACAGCCTAGCATCAGGCTTCTGGGAAAATAAATTTACAGAATTCTGAATCTGTGCACTTCACAGGCAGTAAATCGAGAAGAATGGCTGAGTGGCTGAATTCCAAATGGCTTCTAACTTCATATTTGTCTTCTGTGTATTTTTTTTCCTCTCTCATTCCAGGCTCACCCCCTAGAGAAAAGTATTACTGCAGTGTACTGTATTTCACAAGCGGTGATACATTCAATACGAACATGAGAATTCATGCTGTGGAAATGGGCTTCACAATCAACGTGCCCTGGGCATGACGGGTCAGTTCATCCCTTTGTGCAGGGTGTTTTTTCTAGTTACATCCTCTGCATGATCCTCTTCTTAAATTCCTCTCTCGGTGTATTCAAAATGCTTCTGGCAGTACTGTAGTTCACTGAAGTTTTTCATTGTCTCCTGATTGACACCGGCTGCCACTGGAGCAAGGAGAGGCAGCCCGTTTACCTGCAGGCAGCACTGGCACAAAGAAATCACCTCTTCAGCCCACCTCACCTATTTTGGAGAGTTTTACCTTTAGCCTGCAGATTGGGTCTTTTTAAAGACTAAGTGCTATGCACAATGCACTGTTTTCCCGTTCTTTTAAACAAGATTTATTGATGCCCTTCGGTTAGGTTGGGGGCAGGGGGAGGAGGGGAGGGCTGGCTGTCTTATTTCTCTTGTTTTAAAATTGCATATAGCTCCAAAGGTAATTAGGCATCTTACTTTCTTTGGCACAAATAGTTATTAATACTTACATACCTTTGTGCCTGGATGAGAAGGTCTGTGGTTTCTGCGCAGATCTGTTCTACTTAGAGCAGTCTGTCTTAATCATGGCAGCTCGGGGTGGTACCAAACTTCTACCTTTTGAATCTCACCTGTAACATACTTGCAGGCGATGCTGGGAGGGCCCTTCCAGTAGACTGTGAAGACAGCACATGTGACTAGGTCCACTGAAGTACCTGCAGCCACAGGATGAGAGCGAATACCTGCTTGCCTGCATGTCACCTAGTGACACTCACATAGTCTTCTACAAGCAACCAGACTTGAGCACAAGTGTGTATTCATTCCTTAAACATTACAAGAAGCATACATAAACTGATGTAAGCCCATGGTGCCAGGGTAGCACATGAAGACTAAATCTTGTGTTACCTCATTTTGCTGTCTCTCTCTTACATAAAAGCATTTAAATCAGGTGAAAACATTTAGTGAGCCAAGAAAAACCTGCAGTGAAGGCAGTACAGTAGTCAGAGCCCTTGGAAGAAAGTATCTTGTCATTTGCTTGAGCTCTCAGTACAAGTTTTATCGGACAACAGCGGTACCTTCATGGTTTTGTCTCTGTGTGAACACCCCTTACTGCTTAATACAAAACCCAGCGCAGTCTGTCAAGAAAATAGTGTAGCTAGATCTCTTTTGGCAATTTACTGCATGTACAGTCTGAAAAGCAAGAGGTTGAAAGTCCAAAGAAGTATGATTGCTTGTTCAGTGGTTGCACATTTTCTCAGGAGGTAGCGTTCTTACTTCTATACAGTCCCTGAGCTGCATTTTTTTATAGCTTTAGAGCCTGTTGGATTATTCAAGTGAAAGTTTTGCCAATAAAGCTTCTAGGATTAAAAACTTTGAGTATACAATGTACAGAATCTGTGTAGCAGAAGGCACTTTATAAATAACGGTAGCTCAGAGTAGGTGCTGGCAGTAAATGAATGCTGGCATTGTGCAGTTAAATTATAAACTTACTCGGTTCCAAAACTTGACACAAGTTTCTCTCCTATAAGAATATCAGGGAATTAGAAAGATTTTACCAGAATAATCTGACTTTGTACATTTTTCTTTGAAAATGTGCTTTAAAAACAGGAGGTGTACAGAAGGAAGGGGAATGGGGAAGAAAGAACATACTTTATTCTACTCCCCCTTCAAAAATCAACAGAACAGCTGTCTAGTAGCAGCAGCTTGTAATAGTGGTATGCGAAATAATGTATTACAACTTTCCACCAACTGCTAAAACAGCATAGTGCTTTTCCTAAATTTGGCAAAGAAAGAGCCTTGCTTGTCTGCCATTTCACAGCTAATCACACCTTTAATTTTTTCTGCTTAATGGGGACATCGAAGAGTTCAGCAAGAGAAACGAAGAGGTGAAATGCCTCTGAATTCCCATGGCAAAGGTGGACCGTGGCACACTGTTACAGAATGCAAAGTCATTGTCACAGCTGCTACTGAAATATATTTTGCATTAATGTAAAATGAATGTACCACAGAGTCAGACAAAGCCACGGAGCTCTACAATTTCAGGTTGAAGGTCTGACAAGGATGTTGTACTAGAAACTTGAAATGAGCAAATATAAAACAAAGGTGGAGTGGACGTTTTCATCACATCTTTTGCAGTCTGAAAAGGAGACATGTAAAACTATTCTGTGTGTCTGTGTGAGCTCTTAAAAGCCTTAAATAATGGGGAAAAAAGAGGCTTAAAGGTTAAAAAAGCAAAAGCCTGAAATCCTCTGGGGCAATCACTTCCGTTCCAACACCGTTAAATAGTTAAGGGTCATTTTGCCAGAGCGAAAAATGTTGAAGTATTTTGTACCATTTCTGCTTTTTAAATTAAACTAATAGTAATTTAGCTTACTTGCCTAAGGAGAAGGGAGAGGACTCTCCTAGCAGTCTATCAGCCTATTACTGCGTATCATTTAAGTTTGTAAATTAAAATAACCCCATGCACCAGTACCTGCTGTGGCTGACCAGCTGGAAGGCAGTTTTGCAGAAGTCCTGGGGGTCCTGGTAGATACCAGCCATGGGCCAGGAACATGCCCTTGCAGCAAAGGCAGCCAACAGGCTGCATTAAGAAGGGTTGACAGCATGTCCAGGGAGGTGATCAGCACTGGTGAGATGCCTGGAGTGCTGTGTCCAGGTCTGGGCTCCCCAGTGTGAGAAAGACAGGGACAGACTGGTGAAATCTAGTGAAGGGCCACTAAGATGTCAAGTGGCTGGTGCATCTGTCATACTAGCAGAGTCTGAGAGCTGGGGCTGTTTAGCCTGGAGAAGAGAAAGCTCAGGGAGGAATCTCAGTGTGTATAAATACCTGCTGTTCAGACTGAAGATGAATCCAGACTCTTCAGAGCAGTGCCTAGTAAAACAAAAAGTAGTAGACACAAGCTGAAATACAGAAATTGCCACTTAAAAAACCATAGTGAGGGTGATCAAGCAGTGCAACAGGATGCCCAGAAAGGTTGTGGAACATCCTTGGAGATACACCAGCTGGACATAGCTGTGGACAACCTGCTCTAGGTGACCTTGCTGTGAGCAGGGTGGGTATACTGGACAGTCTCAAGGTCCCTTCCAACCTCAGCAGTTCTGCAACAAGCACAGGGTAGTTGGTTGTTGTCTGTCTTAGAAACTGGTCTTTTCAGCTGTCATTTGCCATCTGTGGAAAAGATTTTCATCTGCTGCGTGGACACTTTTTATCCAGCATCCAAGAAGCTAGTCTTTGTTTACTGGCTAAACTTCTGTTATATTGCATACACTGCATGTTATGTGGAAATCCTTCTGGATTGTAAAGGGATTGTTTTCTGCCTCAGCTGCCCTAGCTGCTACATTCACTGCTTTAGAAGCAGCCTGCTTTTCTTCCCAATAATGTATCTGCTAATGTCTTTGATACAGAGTTCACTCAGCTGAAACTGGCTGCAACAACTGCTCTATCTGTTGCAGCTTTTAAACCCCTAAGGACATATGCCTTTAGCCTACCAGTGCAGATTGTCTTTCAGACAATCAGCCCTGTCTTTCCTCCCTGCACTCTTACATACTTTGTAGCTGCATATTCTTTTCTCCAGTTGCCTAGAATGTTTTTTTTTTTACTTACATATCTGTTTCCACCAAACTTGTTGGACCAATGGCTTTGTAAGCAATGTAGGTAACAGCCTGTAGTTGTTGGGTGCTCCCAAGAGCCTTGTGTCTCGAGAAGGGCATTTGTCAAGCAGAAGGCAGTCTGTTCTTTCATCTAAGAAAGTGACTGCTTGCATTCCTTCAGTTGCTGTTACAGGGAACATGCAATTACCCCATTCTTCATAACGGGGTCTAGAAAAAACGTTCTCATTGCACGTGACAATGTGGAGCTTCCATTCACAGACATTCTTGCCAGGAACCACCTTTCCTCTGTTTACAAAAGAAAGGAAACACCTTCCCAAGTCAATACAGAACAGCACTGTGAATGTACCTTGAAGGCTGATGTACTGTTGCAAGAGGCACGGGAAAGCAGTAAATAGCCAAAGTGTTCCAGATATATCAGGGTGGGAGGAGGAGGACTAGGACCGACCTTCCCCAGAGAGTAGCAAGAAAGTCCTGGGAGTCTGTATGCTAAATATTCTTGATACTGTGTCCTGGTAGGCTGAAATTCTTTCTTTTAAGGTATATCACACACTCACCCCTTTGGGATGTTACCATTACTATTTCGAGATCTTAAAAAGAATTATCTTGGTTCTGGGATTGGGTTGTTCCTTTTGCATTTGAAGCAGCCTTTTCAGCCGTCCTTTCTTCAGCTGGGGGAGCTTCTGCAGCCTGGCTACAGACTTCTGGTGCAAAAGGAACAGTAGAGGTACAGCGTAGCATTGGTGGAGGGCTTCATGTAGATGTGCCTGTTTGGAGAAAATTAAAATTGCAGTGCCTAGGCAGAAAAAAACCAACCTATTCCATGCCTCCCCTTTCTGATACTCTCAAATATTCAGAGATCCATTCCTGCATAAATTTTAAAGACAAAGTCAATTCTTGGCAAAGATCACAGATGCTATTTTTGATGTAAGACAACTTTTTTCCCCTTCCTGGTTTTTTTTTTTAGGACATCAAGCCTTGATCTAAAAGCTTCAGCTGATGAGCAGTAAGCTAGGTAACTTATCAATTATTTTCAAAAAAGCACCTGATTTAAATATATAGAATTGTCTAATGCAGGCTTTTAAACAGACAGTTACTTAATCTAGCAGCAACAATCCTGCCCCTGAAGACATCTAAGACGAGAGACTGCAACAGACTGCCCCTCTTCTCTTGGTTAACCAGTATTCTGGTTAAGAAATTCATCTTTTGAGCTGCTGCAGGCATTCTTCCTTCTCAGAATTTCAGACTGTTCTGCTAGCTGTCTCCTCTGGTCCGTTTTTAGTTCTCTGTATCCTGTTTGATGGATAGACACTGAATGAGACATTTGTTACAGGTGCTGTCCTGAGTTACTCAAGGTAAATTCCAATTATCTTCATCTCCATTGTGAGAGGAGGACTCCTGCAGTGGTGAAGGTCTCACCAAGCTGTTTTCTCTCCTTACTTCTAGACCTTTTCAGTGTGGCAACACAGTGACCCCTCTCCCGTTGTGTGACCCACATTCTCCCCCTAGATTTGTTGTAGTGCCATCAAATGGAGAGCTCCCAACCCAGAAGCCCAGCCTGATTAACTCACATATCTCTACCATTCCTAGAACGAGCTTGCCTCTTCATCTGAAAACCTGACAGCTCTGATTTTAGAGCTCCTTTTAAATCACTTCAAAAGGCATGGAGTATTTTGGACTTGAGAGCAGATCCCATTACTGATTATCTTTGGGACAGCAGTTCCATTCTTAAGAAGCTACCAACCAGTTGATTTTAATTAAATTTGTACAGATCATCAGACTGGCACGTGTTGCTATTTGAATAGCACATGGGAGTAAGCATTACAGCAAGTGCAAGCTTGACAAGGAAACTCAAATATTGATGATGATTATGGGACCATTATTTAGTTTGGTAACAGTTAGGCTGTCAGCCTTTACAGGGGCACAGAGTGGTTTGCACATGGATTGTGATCAGGCTACTCATCCTGTACTGACGTCAATCAAAATTGACACACAACTGATTTTCACTCTTCTCCATCCTGAGCCTACAGAACTACCATGTTTGTACTTGTACTTACGTAACTAAGATTGATCATTAGTAATACAGGCTACATACAGATTGACACTCTTCATGTCTTGGTTCTGTATTTCTTAGCAAGAGAAATACTGTCTGTGAGTGTTCCCCATTCAGGCAGTGGTGGGCAACATGACAAAATTTACTTGTTAGTGCCTGAAGTCTTTACTTCTTCATAGTTTAGACATTTAGCTACTGTTTTATGTTGCTCACCGCTTAATATTGAAGACAGAGAACTGCATGTATCTAGAACCCTGTATGGTTCCTGACTGTCATTTAAGTAGCATCACCAAAAAACCAACAGCAGGAACTTACCACGCTTACAGACATTCCTTGGCCAGCACCTACCATCACACCCGCACCTTCTCTGCAATCCTCAAGACGGGGCACAGAAACCCACTTTCACCGTGGGACTTGGGGCAGGCTGTGCTGGGACACCAGGAAGGACCCCCTGCCCCGTCCCTCCCCTCGGGCTGCCACAGGAGACCTCGGTCCCCCGTTCCCCTCTGACCCCCACCCAACTGAGGGGGGTCTGGTGTCCCCCAAGGACACACCGACCTCCACGGGCTCCTCCTGTGAGGCCGCCAGCAGCGCTCAGACAGGGACCCCTCCACAACCCGAGGGCCTGCAGCAGCTGCTCCCTCAGTACCACCACCCCGAACCGCACCGTACAGCGGCTGGAAGAGGCCCAGCACGCCGAGAGGAGCCGGGCAGGACCCCGGGCCGAGCCCCTCTCCCCCTGCAGCTCCGTCCCTCTGAGGGAAAACCCGCCGCCCGCCGCGGTTATATGGGGGCGGGGGCCGTTGCGCATGCGCACAGCGGCACCTCCCCGCCCGGCGCCCGCCCTCCCGCCTACGGTCCCGTCCCCCCGTCCCCACCCGCCCGTGGGGCGCGTAGCCCGGTCAGGGATCCCCGGCAGGCGGCGGTGCTGGCGAGGGGCTTCCTCCGAGGCGCCGTGCCCTAAGCTCTTGCTAGGCTGGCATTTCCTTACAGCGGCAATGTGACAGGTGCCAAGTCTCTGGGGGGGGTCGTTATGTGAGGTGACAAGGCTCTGAGGGGGGATACGTAAGGTACCATGGCTCTGAGGGAGGACGTGGGGGGGGGCAAGGTTCGGGGGGGGGATACGTAAGGTACCATGGCTCTGAGGGGAGATATGTGAGGTGACAAGGCTCTGAGGGGGTGATACGTAAGGTGGCATGGGTCTGAGGGGCGTATATGTTAGGTGATAAGGCTCTGAGGGGGGATATATGAGGTGCCATGGCTCTGAGGGGGGATATGTGAGGTGACAAGGCTCTGAGGGGGGATATGTGAGGTGACAAGGCTCTGGGGGGGGGGAATACATGAGGTTCCACGGCCCTGAGGGGGAGCAGTACTTGAGGTGACAAGGTTCTGAGGGGGATATGTGAGGTGACAAGGTTTGGAGGGGGGGTACGTGAGGTGGAAAAGCTCTGGCTTTGTGGCAGCAGCAGCAGCTCGGGGGCCCCCAGGAGCTGCTGAAGCCACGACCCCTGGCAGCCCCACAAGCCACAGCAGGCGGGTGGCGACGGGCCCCTCCGTGTCCTACGGCTTCGGGGGGAGCCCGGCTTCCCCACACGGCCGGGATAACAGCCTTGCCCTCGCTGGGTGAACTTGGGGCCATTTTGGTGGCGAAGCCCCGTGGGTGGGTGTGCCCTTGCCCAGCCTGCAAGTCTTCTGTCAGAGCAGTGTACACATTAATTAAAAATTTGTTGGACGTACCTGGCTTTGCTATGGAATTTCCCTTCATAAACGACTAGCCCTACACGCCCATTTATATGTATGTTATATATGTGCATGTGTATTTTTATGCATGTGTATCTTTAGCAGATTCTTGCTGCTGGAGTTGCAGTACAATACTGTTTGCCTTGGGCAGTAGTCAGGGCAGTTTAAAACACGCCGTGGGACGCAAGCAGCGATTTTCTTGCCTGCGTTAAAGAAAAACGCAATTAACCCTGAGTTAGTTAGGTACTTTGTCGTCCAATTTACTTGGACGTTTTAAACTGAGGCGGGAGACAGGGTCTGCAGTGGCGGAGGGCTTCCTACAGCTTCAGGAGGCTCCTGGGGTCGAGAAATTTGGCCGCAAAGGTGCAAAAATGCGGTCCGAAGGAGTCGGGCAAGAAAAAAAAAAAGGAAAAGTTGAAGCTTCCCATACCGGGAGTCGAACCCGGGCCGCCTGGGTGAAAACCAGGAATCCTAACCGCTAGACCATATGGGAGGCGCTGGGTGCTATTCTCTCCGCCCGCCCCATAGCTCTGCCTGCCCGCACCCTCCTGCCGTTCGGGCCCGTACCGGGCTCCGGTGGGTCCCGTTCCACCGCCCCCGACGGACCGCCAGGAACCCCCGCCAGCCCCCTGCTCCACATCCCGCCTCTATAAATCCCCTCCTGCCAGAAAGGGGCTGCCCACACCTAAGATGGCGGCCGGCGCTTCCCTGCCGCCCCGCTCCGCCCCCTTCTCTCTCCTCGCCCCGCCCGCCTCGGCGCATCACATGACGG